TTGCTACACCAATGACGGTCCGCGGATAAGAACGCCATTTCGATGACAAATAATACCAGAGTTTTCCAACCCGTCGCCCACTACACTGATTGACGGAACCGTGGAAATCATAGTTCTTGTCATTTCTCAACCGGCGGTTATATGGAGATAACTATGGTTCCCGAGAAGTGGACTATTCGTTGCCGTAATGTATATACCAAAACATTTGTTTGCTTGAATTACCCTCTGCGGCTGCTCCTAGTTTTTACATACATAATAACTTATACATATATATGATATTATTAATTAATAGCGTATATGTTAAAGCTAGGCTTGAGTTGAGTTGCTTGATGTTTTGGAAATGCAACGCTTAATTATTTGATCTCTACTTAGAACTTGGTATTTGATATTGGGATATCGAATGTGAGTTTTTGGTTAGTATTATACACTACGTATACGTGTTTTTGTTATGAGTACCCGGCCTTTAAGTACTTAATTAATTACTCCCTGTTTACTATTCCCTCCGTGTCTAATTAGATGACTCATTTGCTTTTCATGGAGTTTAAGACAATTGTTTTAGACTTTATAAAAAGTACGGAGTAAGAGGTTTTTGGTACTGTAGTGGTACTGTAGCTGTTTTTTGAGTGGGATTATTTATGAAAAAGGAAAGAAGATCATAAATTTGATACACCAAAAAGGGAAAGTGTGACAAGTAAATAGATAAGGAAATAGATACCGAGGGAGTATTTAGATAAGGAATATTTATTTGTTTTGAGAAATTTTCAGTTGTAACCCACGTAGCGTGTCGGGTAGCGACAAAACATTTGAACCTTTGTCAATTACTCTAACCATGAAGCCATGAAGGTAAAGTTAAAAAGAAGTCCAAGTAGATTTTTTCGTAAAAATGCGACTTTTGGTATTTTACCTGGTTGGTGAAATGTGAGGAAAGAATTTGGGCATTAGCGCCTTAGCGGGTTTAGCGGTAGTTTTTCCCTATGTTTCCTCTGCCACGTCAAGCTCTTCGTGTTTGCTGATGAATGTTTCATATTTCATTTTTTTACTTCACCAAGCCACTTTGGCGAAGTGTAAAACATCTTTACAATAATTCAACTTTTTCAACTCATTTTTTATGTATAATTTATATGAATTAAATTTATTAGTAGGTTACAACTTTTGCATTAGCAAACGTGGAATCTAGTGTTTCCTTGAACAACGACCGTTAGTGTAAAGTGTTCTTGTGTGAATTCTCATTCATCATCTTGTGGTCAATCACTTAATACAAATCATTTTCTATCTATAGTTTTACCTCTCAATATTGCTCTAATGATAGTACTCCCTCATTCCATTTTGTAAGATATTTTTCATATTGATTTGGTCAATACAAATCACTCTTAATCTCTTACTTTATATATCAATTTTTTATTAAATTCGTTTCTGATTTTTGTGACTTTCTAAAGCTTTTAATGTGGTTTCTGAATATATAATTCTTTTTTCTAAAAATAGTTTGAGTGATGAAAATGATTCGTTTGCTTTATCGTCGGTCAAACATCGTAAGTCGTAAAGTGTCTTACAATTCGGAACGGAGGGAGTATATTTTTTAAACATGGAAATACATGCGATAATATTAATAAATGATGAAAAAAATACTATTAAGTGGATTAAGACTTGGGGGAAATTATTATTATTTCCTTGTGGTCAGATCGTAACTCGTAAGTGCTAGTTCTTTTTTTTTTTACTCCGGAGGTCTGGGGGAAGGGTAGGGATGGACTCGGTTCGGGCCGGGCCCGGTTCGGGCCTTGAATCGGCCGGGCCTCGGTTCAAGGTATGGGAGGCCCGGAACCGGCCCGGGTAACCCCCGGGTCCGGGCCGGGCCGGGCCTCGGTTAATTTTTTTTTTGTTTTTGGGCTTTTCGTAGTTAACCCCCAACCCTCCCCTGGCCCTCACCCCCAAACCAACCCTAACCACCTCAAATGGCCCAAAATACCCACCCCAACCCAAAAACTTAAAGAAAATTAAAAAAAAATTGGCCCGGCCCGGGTCCGAACCGGCTGGACCGGTTCACCTTTTGAAGGGCCCGAGCCCGAACCGAGATCCCACCGGGCCGGTCCGGGTCCGGAAGGGGATGGGGCCCCGGAGTAATCAGGGCTGAAACTCGCTCCATTGAGTTTCAAACCCTTGTGTGCCTAGTGGGATTCGAACTCGAGACCTCCCACTAGACACGGCAACCTCACAACCAATTGGGCTGGAATGCTTGGTTACTCGTAAGTTCTAGTTCTTTCTTGTGTTTTGGTCAATAATTGACCCTTTAATTTGGAACCTTCTAAAAGTTTATCATCATCCTTAATGTGTGTCATATTTAAATACTTATATTAGGGCACGTTTGGTGACATTTGTATTAAGCTTATTATGGGCTTATGACCTTGTCAATCAGTTTTTTCACTTAACATTGTGTTTTTATTTTATTTTGCAGTCTAAGTTGTATAATACTACCTCCGTCCCACTAAGATTGGGACAAGAGAAGGTGACACGATTATTAAGAAAAGTGGGTTTGTGTGGTTGATATTAAATTGATAAAGTAAGAATGATTTAGACTCACACAATCTTTATCAAATTTGGTATGAGACAATCTTATAGGAACTTTCCGAAAAAGTAAAATAGAGGAATCTTAGCGGGACAGATGAGTGAGTAATAAAAATAAATAGACTGAAAATATTTTTATGACTGAATCGGTTAACGTTATCACATAGGATAATTTGAGCCATTTTTCATATAATTTTTCTTGATTCATTAATAAAATATACTTTAAATATATTTTTCAATTTAGTAGATTCAAACAATTCAGTCACTTTAGCGAGAACATTATCAATTTCAACATATTTAATTGATTATGTCAATTTCAATGTTATCAAACAAACTCTTAAATATGATAATCGTTATTTTGTACGAGTCAGAACAATTCATCATATGATTATAAAGTACTACATCCGTCCCTTAAAACTTTGCCATGTTTGATCGACACAGGATTAATAAAGTAAAAAGTGTGTGGTAGAGATTTGTGCAGAGAAGAGAGAGTTAACTGAAACCACCAATTTTTTACTTTAAAATGGAAGTGCTAAAAATAGTGGGACAACCAAAAAAGGAAAGTTAGTAAAGTTTTAAGGGACGAGGGAGTATAATTAAAGGTATAGTCAATACTTAATGAATTTTATAGGATATAAATATACAAATATAAAAAAGATTTGAGCTATTTTTTCATTCTTTGCTACTTGTTGAATACATGTCATTGAAAAAAGAGTGAAAATTTGACTTATATTGGTGAGAGAAAAATATTTTGTGTTTCAGATTATAGTAGATTAATCGTTTGTTATTTTTTGTATAAACGTCATTTATTGTTTGATTAAGATGTATATTATTATATAAATATAATACATTTTTGTTTCTTATAGTAAAATTAAGAAAATATATAACTATCACCACCTATTAATTAAAGGGAAATTTATCCATATATTACTAAAACTCATGTGAATATTGACTATCCATGTTTTTTTACCATTTATGACTAGAAATACTAAACATCGTGCAAATCATTGTTCATTTAATTCATTTCCATACTTTTAGTTAAGATGAATTAGCTACTTGGTGAGGTAACACTGGAATTAAAAAAAGATTAAGAAAAACGGGAATGACCATGCATCATATTGAAGTATGATAATAGGAAACAAAACTCATGAGAAACATAGTATGAGTATTTTTAGTCGGGGTAGATATCTCTTAATTAAACCAGACCATTCGTTTTGAGGGAAAAGGGGCAAATAAGGCCACGTACTAACCAAAAAAGGTCAAATAAGGCCTTATTTATGAGGTTCTGTCCGGCCTTCGCCATTTGGGGTGGTTCTCGGTGGATTTTTTGATGAATTTTTTTTACCATCTTATTCATTAAGTCTAGTTTACTCATACCAAATTTCAGATCAAAATTTAATCGAGAAGGCATTCAAATGAATTTTTGAAGATAATTGCACTTTTAATTACACAATTATCTTCAAGAATTCATTTGAATAGCTTCCCGGTTGAAGTTTTAGCTTAAATTTGGTATGAGTAAACTAGACTTACTGAATAAGATGCTCAAAAAATTTCATCAACAAATTCCACCGAGAACCAACCCAAATGGCGAAGGCCGGACATAGCCTCATAAATAAGGCTTTATTTGACCTCTTTTTGTTAGTACGTGGCCTTATTTGCTCTTTTTCCCTTCGTTTTGACCATGCATGGAATGTTTCAAACAATTTTTATTATACTGCGAATTTGATAATTATTTAAAGTTATGCAAGATATATATTTTGCCAAGGTAAATAAATGTTAAAAATAATAATAAGTCATTATTACCTATTTAGTTATGATAGAATAATGGCAAAAATAAGTGGAAATTTTGAACTTCTGATTCGATTGATTATGCTGAAATTTATGAAATTTTGACTAATTCTACTAATTTATGAAAAGTTATATTAACTCGTGTTCCAAATAAACTTCAAAATTTATTTTTTGGGTAGGTTTAAAATAAATTTCTCACTTTGATAAGTTTTTAATACTCCTTATAAAGTTACCATTATACATTTATTTTATTACCTGCTTTACTACACTCAGTGTCTCTCTCACTACACCTAATCTACTCTTTATATCGGTATGATGGAAAAGCCAAAAATAAAAATTTCACTTCCTTACAAACCGTGAAGTCAAAGTGTGAAGTTTATTTAGAACCGCAAGGAGTATTTAAAATATATTCCGTATTTTATTAATAAAAGAAAATAAAAATTATATGAAAAAGCTAAAATATTTTTCTTAATAACTTGGTCATTTCAGTTAAAAAAGTTACTCCAACCTTAATTATTTTTATAATTATTCTGTACAATTTAAAGGGTAAAATAAAAAAAAATGCTGATAATTTAAAGTGAAAAAGTTGGTGACAATACGGATAGGCCACCTAACAGGCGCTATACCATTTTACTTTATTTAGAAATAGGAGTATTTATTTAGAAGTGAGAGAGTGGGATCCGAAAAGGGGATGGAAAAGCTGACACAAAAGTCAAAATCTCATAACCGCCTAGGAAGGCATGAATGTCTTGCATTTCCGAATACCGACTGATTGATGTTGACTTATTTATCTTTATACAGCCGATAGATAGATTCTCCGTCTTTGAATTCACCAAGAACTGTATTCTCTTTTACGATTCATGTAAAAATTCTTTTAACATGATAAAAGGTTCTCATAAAGATTTAGCTTAGAGCCGTAGAAACTTATCTTTGCAAATACGCCAACTCATTCTGTATCTCTTTCTACTCCAGATATTCTCCGCCCTGCTCTAAATCTACGCTATCTTTACTGGAATGCGGAAGCTGAATGTTTGAACCAAATTATTAAATTCTCTGTCGAGGTCAGTTGGTGATTTCTGTTCTCCGGGAGTTTTATTGCGTTATTATCTGGTTCCGGAGCAGATTCGCTGCTTAATTTACAGAATAGGTGTGCTCCGAAGCAGATTAGCAGCACAATTTGTGGAATAATGTTTAGGTTTAGGTACTTAATTTGACCAGTAGCAGATATTACGCTATTATATTCCATTTATGTTATTGGCATTTCAAGTGTATATAAATTTTGTTTCTTCTGTGGTTTTTAGTTAGGACGATTGTAGCTTTGTGTCTTTTAGTGATCAGGTCGCCAGTTATGACGAGTTCATAACGTGAATGCTGATTTTACCTTGATTCTGGAATTCTGGGTTAATTACTCAAGGAGTAGCCGACTAGCTTAGAGCCTTAGAATATGATGGTAAGTAGACTGGGTCCTGCTCCTAGACCTACCATGATTGGGCTTTTTGGTTCACGGTCTTGGAGTAGGTTTTGGAACAGTTTGGCTGGCCGGCTTAGCTCCACACTCATTTTGAATGTCTATATGTATCCCCTCCTCAGTTGCAGGGGGGATGTTGAATCATTACATTGAAACCATTCAATCCGAGGACTTTCTCACTTAGATTTATGCTATCTCTCTACCCCGGTCCCCATCATCCTCCATAGAAAGGTTACTGGATATGTTGCTGTCGACCAGTAGTCTGATTTTCTTTTATTCACTCATTTTTAGAATACATGTCTTACATCTTGTGCATGATTAGGTCTTTCATATGATGGGAGGGTTTACCAATCAACAATAGTTAAATGGATAGGAACATGTGGCAGTGCTAGAGGCTTTGCAATTTGCCAAGCATATTCATGGCATCTGCTGGCCCTGGCCATGGAGGCGCAGGGAGTTCTAAGAACACTAATGGATTCACAAGTTCAACTACTTCACTTGATTGGTTGGCAAGGGAAATGCTTCAGATGAGATTGAAGGACACAGTGGACCTTGATGATGATAGGGTGAGCTTCTTGATTGAATGTGTTTCAAGCTTCCTCTAGTCTTTGAAGTGCATCCTAACTGTATTAAGATCAATAAATGTGTAATCTTAGCGGCTATTTGGTAAGGCTCAAAACAACTGAATTGGCTTATCTTGCTGAAATTATTCAAACCGTGGTTGAAATGGCTGAATCTATTGAATTTTAAGTTATTTGAGAATATGTGCTTACATTCATTAAAGATAATACTTTCTCAACATAATGGTTGAACCATCAATGTAAGCAACATCAGCTGAAACAGTAACATGTGCATTTTATTTATTTATTTAATTAACAGATTTTTAAATTGGCAGTGTGAAATAAGTTAGTGTTGTGTGAAAAGCAGGTTGGTAAGGATGATAACCAAAAACACTAGCCTACCAACATGCTCTTAGTCTTAATCATTCCAAAGGACATAATGGCCATTTCTTTGCTGTATTATACTATGCATATGATTGCTACATGGTGAGGTATTACTGCTTTCTCACTTGATACTAGTATATTACGCAGGATAGTGAGCTGGAGACGATTGAGGGTGTAGGTGTAGAAATTGGACATGTTATTCGAACTACTATTGGTGGTCGAAATGGCCGATCTAGGCAGGTTTGTGAACTAGTCTAAGGAAAGTACTTTTGTTGTGGCCAGGATGTTGCTTTGTGGCAATCTTACTTGCAGTTTAACTTGTCTATATGGGGTTGGACAGAATGTCAGCTACAAAGCTGAACGTGTGATAGGAACAGGAGCTTTTGGTGTTGTTTTCCAAGTAAGCTCTGGTATTTGTTTTGGATAAAATGTTCTCTTTAGCATTCGGTTATATACAATAGCTGCAGTCCTAATGGGTTAGTGCAGGCAAAATACAGAGAAACTGGAGAAACTGTTGCAATTAAGAAGGTTCTTCAAGATAAGCGCTATAAGAACCGAGAGTTGGAGATAATGCAGATGTTAGACCATCCTAATATCGTCGCTCTTAAGCATTCCTTCTTCTCGACAACAGACAAGGAAGAGCTATATCTCAATCTTGTCCTTGAATATGTCCCTGAAACCGTTAACCGTGTTTCTAGGCAGTTCAGCAGAATGAACCAGCGGATGCCATTGATATATGTCAAGCTCTATACCTATCAGGCATGCCCATGAAACTCAGTGTTTTCTGCAAATTAGTTATAAACTTATGGATGTATCTGTTGAGTAATCTTGTTCGTCTATGATGTTCATGGCCAGTATTAGTCCTAATTAGTTGTGTGGTAATTCTATCACCAAATAGTTTTGCCTCTTAAGTCTGTCACCACCACATTATTTTTGAAAGAACTGCACATTATCATCTTCCTATTTCAACTCCTTGTGCGACTCCTATGAAGTCGGGGTTCCATACTTCCATCTAAAAAGACCATTGAATGGTTGGAGTGGCCCAAGGTCTTATGTGTGACTTTGTATGTTTATATTTTGCCGAAGTATGATGGCTTAAGAAAATTAATCTTGAAATCCGTTTCTTCGCTTTTAAGTCTTTGTTGGATTGCTTGCTTGCTTGAGCTAAATTAAATTAGCCATGATATCATATCAGTACTTGAGATTGCCTAATAAAAGGTCAAAGTGATGGGTGGAGCTGCCAAGGGTCTTATATGTTAGTTCAAATGTATATGATGATCCTATGGGCTTGTGGAATTACTCTTCATCGGTATATATTTTTCGATGTGGGATGACTTAACATCCCCAACATTGTAAATTAACAAATACGTAGGCATTGTTTTTAAGAATAAGGGAAAAGGGTGAGATAGGTCCTCAGACTTACATAAAAAGGTCAGATAAGGCCTCATATAGGAGGCTCTGTCCGGTCGTCGTCATTTTGGGCGGCCCCCGGTAGAATTCTTTGATGATTTCTTTTGACCATCCTATTAAAAGCGCAGTTATCTTCAAGAATTAATTTGCATGCCTTCCCGATTGAAGTTTTAGCTGAAATTTGGTATAAGTAAACTAGACTTAATGAATAAGATGCTCAAAAAATTTCATCAAAAAATTCTACCGGAAACCGCCCCAAATGGCGACGGCCGGACAGAGCCTCCTATATAAGGCCTTATTTGACCTTTTTATGTAAGTTCTAGGACCTATTTGATCCCTTTCCCTTGTTTTTATTCAACATTATTACTATAGCGTACACTTTATTATCACCTCCCTCCTCACTGTAGAGAAAAGGACGTGTCTCAAAATTTTAAACCACCAGGATCTTGATTATATTTGTACTGAATCTGAAAAAATTATAAGTTTCCTTTAGTATCTCTCTCAAGTTTCATCTCTATATGTGTGCAGATATGCAGGGCACTGGCTTATATCCATAAATGTATTGGCATTTGCCACCGGGACATTAAGCCTCAAAATTTGTTGGTTAGAATACTTCATTATGTTTGTTCGTATGAATGAAGTTGAGCATTTTACTTTTTCTAACTTGTGAAAAATGTGAAAAATGAGCTGATGTAGTCCTTTAACAACCAGGTGAACCCACATACACATCAGCTGAAAATTTGTGACTTTGGAAGTGCAAAAGTTTTGGTAAGTACTTAATTTAAGGAACTTCTTGAAAGCTGCATTCCATAGATGTCAAAACAGACGAAAAAGTGTGACAGCTGGACATCTTTCTAGTTTTGGAGCATGGCTTTGTAAAATTTCATTTTTAGCGTCTCTAAAGTAGTTGTATTCTAACATATATCAGGTGGAAGGAGAACCCAATGTGTCATACATTTGTTCACGACATTATCGTGCTCCCGAGCTCATTTTTGGTGCCTCTGAATATACAACAGCTGTTGACATCTGGTCTACGGGTTGTGTCATGGCAGAATTACTTCTGGGAAAGGTAATTCTAACAGTCTGTTTGTATTTATAATTCCATACTTTTTAACCATTAAATTTCTTTTCTAATCAATCTTTACAGCCTTTATTTCCTGGAGAGAGTGGGGTTGACCAATTAGTAGAGATCATAAAGGTGGGTACTATTTTTCTTAGATACTGCAGACTTTTGACTGGTTCCTTGACTGAATCAGTTAATAATGGAAATGGTAGTGCCAAGAAAGTAGCGCAGGATTAACTTCTTTTTCTGCTGAAATGGCTTGAATAGATGGCTCTTATTATTCTTTCTTCTATTTACATCTGTAAATTTACTATACAGGTATTGGGAACACCTACTAGAGAGGAGATGAAGTGCATGAACCCAAATTATACTGAATTCAAATTTCCACAGATAAAACCTCATCCATTGCACAAGGTACTTGGAGAGTTTCTTAATATTTTCTTTTCCCACTTGTTCTATGGCATCAGAGTGACATCCTTTTTATGTATCATATCATGAAGTTATTCTACTGAATTCGTACAAGAAAGTGAGAAACATGATGTGTATCCTAAACACCTTATATAATGCCTGTTACTTGTTGATCACGAACCTTGCAGATTTTCCAAAAACAGTTACCTCCAGATGCATTTGATCTGGTTTATCGTTTTTTCCAGTATTCTCCACATTTGAGATGCACTGCTGTAAGTTTGCCTTCGTATGCAGTTTAATATTATCATTATTCGGTCCTGAATATGGCGTACTAATTTACTTAGTGATGGATTTGTTACTTTGGTTTGTAATGCAGTTGGAGGCTTGTCTTCATCCTTTCTTTAATGAACTGAGAGACCCGCATACCCGCCTCCCTAATTCCCTCCCTCTTCCACCGCTCTTCAATTTCAACTCTCAAGGTCATTTCTTTTGATTTTTCTTGTTTTATTATTATTACTGTTATTAATTTATTATTTGCTCCACTACCTCTTCTAACTAAGTTTAACTTGTGGTCCGAATGAAATTTAAGTCAATTGCCTAAAAGTAGTTAACACTAAGGGCTAAGGCCATGTTAGAAATACAGAATATGATAGGTAAAGGGGAAAAGTTGCCAACGAAAGAAGTACTGAATGCTTGGTTTTACATTGAAAATACAAAGGAAAATCAAATTTGATTACAGGTCTTCATAAAGTTATACATTAGGATTTAGGAAGTACGGAGTATTTTTTAGTCTTCATATATTAAGAAGTATTTCTTAATATAAAGAGTTGAACAGCTATCTTAAATTGATTTATTGAGTTTGAACACATTTTTTCTTACTCCAAATTTCTCATCTATTCGAAAAAAGAACCTAAAATTTCATGGGCACACACAGAGTGGCACTTTATGCGAGTTGCCCTACCTTATTACATAGGAATCTCATCCCCTTAGATATTGCTATAAATTGTGGAGATGATCACTATGGATTCAGGAACTGAACTGCGTTAGCATATCTTTGCTACTAAATGGGTAATATATATATACTCCGTATATGTTTCTCAAAATAACTTTGTGTCCATCCATTAACAAATCTGTTCATATGCATTATTATAGAGCTCTCCGACTTGTCTCCGGAAACTATTCATCGACTCATTCCAGAACACATTCGTAGACAGAACTGATTATAAGCATGAAAGGTTTCGCTTCCCCCATCACTTGTTCTTAAGCTTTAGCAGCCTCATCAACTGGTTTGGTATCAGCAGAGAAACACTGGAGCGTTGTGCAGAATGAAGAGAGAGCAGTTTGTTTCGGGTTTTCTGTATTGTCTTCTTATTACTAGCTGACTGTATATTTTCCTATCACATTCTCTCGACTTGAACATAGATATATATGCACACAAGGTATATTGCTACTTTTTTCATGATGTCATCTTACTTACGGTTTTTCTTTTATACGTGTATTATCAGCTTCCTGGCCATTCAAACATAGCTCATGTCCCCTTTTGGTGCTGCAAATGCTGTGATATTTGAAGCTTTATGCTTTATTTTTAAGGGAAGAAGGGAGTCGGGATGTTGGATAGGGGTATTTGAATTTTCTTATTAATTAATCACATAAACGATAGATACATCATACATGTAAAACTATATTTACATTTTGTACTTGCTATGTATATGCTGTGGTTTTTGTTTTTTAGTTGCTCTTTTAGTTCGTAGAAGAAGGATGTTGCCGTGGTAGAAATTGAGTGAAATTTAGAAAGAAAAAAAACATTGGGTTTTTAATAATTTTATAATCTTTCTCTTTTAATTTTAATACTAAATTGCAACTTAGCACGTACTCATCATCATCACTATCTGATTTGAATGTTTCTGACTTGATCTGAATCCTTCCGATCTAATCTGAATCTTTCTTATCTGCTCTGATTTGAATATTTCTATAATTATGATTATAAATAATAATTATTGTAATTATAAATATATTTTAAATATAATTATAATTATAATCATAATTATAAAAAATATAATAATAATAATTATTATTATAATTAAAATTATAATAATTATACCTACTACACTAATTATAATTATATCTATTATTATAATTGTTATGGATCGTTGCGCTTACCGCTACACTAAAAGCAATCGTTGATAGTGTAGCACGCTCACCCCCTTTATAGCACATGCGAAGTGCCACACGGTTCGATTACACTGGCAGGTTGGCAGATTGCTGGCACCACATATCCGCGGCCCAACAATCTCCCCCCCCCCCTGCCAGCCTCAACTGCGCAGCATGCTGTTGCCGGGGGTCGAACCCGTGACCTTAGCTCTGATACCAATTGTGGATCGTTGCGTGATAGCCGTTATATTTACTTGTGTTTAACATAAGTTTTTATAACAATTATAAGTATTTGTTGAAGAGGAGAAATTGGGAAAATACCTTCAAATGAGAGTTAAAGCATAAAACATTGTGATGAACGGCTTTTGGGACAAAAAAGATGATGTTCTGCCCATAATTTGAGTATAACTCATTGTAGAGAACTCGAAATCACTCGACTAGAATTTCATGTGAATGTTAAATCAATAAGGTACAAATGTTATAGAGACGTTATGGCCAGAATATGAAATGATCAAGACTCCATCAACCAATAAAGTCAGATCTTGCTAGTGAGATTTCAGGATGCATACCTCTCAGTGTTTTATCCATATCTTTTGATTGGATGAATAAAATCACGTCATTCAAGTTTTGGTGGATAGAAGATTTCATTATCTACAACTTACCGCTACGGGCCGCTATCAAGGTGTGAAATTCATATCGCAGAAAAATCAGCTACGCTACCGCTACAGTCCACTACGCCGCCAGCTACGCACAGCTACAAGCCGCTAGGCCCGCTACCGGCACCTCTGGCAGTGCATCACGAACTGGGTGATGTGTAAATGTGTAAATGTTGTGTGCATGGAGTGAAACTCTAAATTAAATGTAAATGTATCCCCATACATTATGGGACCAAATATTAATAAATATGTAAATTTTAATAAGGAAAAAGGTGCAAATAAGCGCCGTACTAACAAAAAAAGGTCAAATAAGCCCTTATATAGGAGGCTATGTCCGGCCGTCGTCGTTTGGGGCGGTTCCCGGTGAAATTTTTTGATCCAATTTTTTGAGCATATTATTCATTAAGTCTAGTTTACTCATACAAAATTTCAGGTAAAACGTCAATCGGGAAGGCATTCAAATGAATTCTTGAAGATAACTGCGCAGTTATCTTCAAGAATATATGTGAATGCCTTCCCAATTGAATTGTTAGCTGAAATTTGGTATGAGTAAACTAGACTTAATTAATAAGATTCTCAAAAAAATTCATCAAAACATTCTACCGGGAACTGTCCCAAATGGCGAAGACCAGACAGAGCCTCATATATAAGGGCTTATTTGACCTTTTTTAATTAGTAATTGGGCTTATTTGCCCCTTTTCCCTTTTAATAATTAAAATCAAATTAATTATATATAAGGATGATTTAACTTTAATATCGGTTGACGAAAAAAATATTGACTTAACAAAACAATTTGGGATAGAAGTAGTATTATTATGGATTATGCAAGTTGCAATGCATGGTCCACTTCTTGAATTTTGATTGTGAAAGGACAACAATTTTTCATATAAGTAATATCTTTTCGGGACAGAGGAGTATATCTTTTCATTGAAAATTATTTATAATATAAAAATGATATAATAATGTTCTTTATTAAAAGTACTTTCATAAAAGTATAAGATTTATAATAACTTTTATAATTTTAGTTCACCATAAAATGCTAGATACTCCTTAGTTCATTTCATGCAAGCTACCTCATTCTCCTTATTTCATTTCATGCAAGCTAGTTCATCTTCTTCTCCTTTTTTATTTCATTAGGTGCTAAATTTGCATTAAATCTCTACGACGCCACCAAGAGAAGAATTCCCCACAACAAGTCTTGAAGGTGCTCCAAGCATTGACATTGGATGGCACTTCGGAAACCCAATTAAAGATAATCGGAGTCACGTCAAGTGCAAACTCTGTTTAAGAATTTTAACAGGCGGCATCACAAGATTGAAGGAACACATAACACACAAGAAAGGGCAAGTCGTGGGTTGTGCTAGAGTGATCACATTCATAAGAACAAATATGACGAACCTTCTTGATGGAAAGGCCAAGAAAATTGACTCAAAAAAGAAAAGAAGAATTTGAAGCACACTTAAGATGTGAAGATGATGATGATAATGAAGATGAGGTTGAGGATGATCCACATCATAATCTTAGAGAACAAAGGTCTCTTTTAATTGTCATATTCTTATTGGTTGATTAGTTGTTCACATATAAGTGTTCAAACAAATATTCATTATATTTCTATTATTTTTATCACCCATCAATTATATGTTGTGCGCACTTGAAAATATTTCACGCCGCTGCGACCGCTATACGCATCACAGCGGTTGCAACAGTCGCTACCGAGATGACTGTTACCGTTACCACAGCCGCTACGGGTATTTAGAACCTTGCATATAATATGCGCCGTAGTTTTAACGGAAAGTAACAAGACATAATCCTTGTTATTACATTGGGTAGTTTAGTTTCAACCAGCCCTGGGGAAGAAGGGTGTATCATGTGTAGCGGTTGGATCCAAATGACTTGCATGAAGAGTTAGCTTGCCCTTCATCGTTTTATGATTCTTGTCGTATTTGAATCAAGGATTTCCAATAATTCTTTAGGAAACCAACACCGGTAGAAACTGTACCATCTCTCTTCCCATGTTCAACATCATTCCATAAACGCCACGCCCGTCACAAGATAAGCACTAAGCGTGCACACATTAAATTGTCCACACCCCATTCGGCAAATTTATAAACCACTAAGGCCCGATTTCCTAAAACAACTTTCCCAGATAGTTTTGATTTATTTAATTTTTTATTAATTCCATTCCTAATATTTGATGAAGGTTTCTTCACAAAACTTTATTATTATAATAAAACTAAATAATATTTAATTTTTTAAAAAATATTCATGAAAACTTGGGTCCTATATTGAAAATTTTAATTTATTCGGATCCTAGATTGATAGCGGGTCCCGTACCGATACATTTCATTTTTCAGGTCCTGAATTGATAATTATTCATCTATCTTTGAAGTCCTGGATTGAGGTATCAAGTTGTTCTTAAAGGCTCCTACTTTGGTGCATTCCACGACTACATGATATGTGTCTTCATTTTTATTTAATTTAAGGGTTTAATTGAATATGTTGGACAAGTTCAGGGGCTTATCTTAAAATTTAACTTCCATATTTGATACACGATTGATACCTTACCCTATTTGAGTCACTTGCAAACAATAAAATTAGATTGGGCAAGCAAAAAGGCACAATAGCATATTTAATTGTTTTGCCTACAACGTACACATGATCTAAATAATAATGTTATAATATTGAGATAATTTTAAGATTAAGCATGACTATGAACTACAACAACAACATCCAAGCCTTAGTCCCAAAAGATATTGGGGTCGATTAACATGAATCGATACGTGATATCACCACCAAAAGGAAAAGAAAGAAAATAAAGATAAAAAAGATAAGCTATGATAAAAAGATAATATAAAAAAAAGATGAATATACATAAAAATGATAAAATAAAAAGGATACAAATAGTGCTTATACATATATAAGGTTAAAAAACAAGGAAAAAAGAAGAGGAGAAAAGATGATATGAGATCACTCATCCACACGGATACCCGCCATCCACTTAGCTTTCTCCAAAGTCATGCCCTCATCTAAGCATGACGATGAACTAAATAAAAAAATTACGGTTGAGATTGTTATAGTCACGGTTATAGGGATTTTTATTTTATACATTGGAGATATCTATTTCCATACCATTTTTAATAAAGAATTAAGTGTCTATAATTTATAAATACTTTAAGATATATATAATTTACTACAAACTAGTATATTGTATGTATTCTTTTAATTTACTCGTTTGCCTATAATATTTGGAATTGGTTTCATGTACTTAATTATAAAGAGGTTAAACTCATGATATATGCTTATATTTGAGTTGCACGTAAAATATGCCCATGTTCTAATGGAGGCATAAATGCAATCATCTCATAATGTAATCTTTTATATGAAGTATGAAATAATGTAGCATCATGTATATAAAATGTTCTTTAAGCTTGAGAGTCATAATAACATTAGAATAAATGTGTGGTTATGTTCAATGATTTCTCATACTCGTCTTACGGTGGATTTATCTTGGGAATAACAAGTCAATGAAGCATAAACAAGAATATAAAACTACCTCATAATATAAAGACATGAACACACTTTTTTGGTTCAAGATAAAGAGCAGAACTTTTCACCAATCATTATTTCTTAACACAAATCACTCACTAGTTATGAATATTAATCTTGGTGGGTGTGTTTTTGAAAAACAAAGAAAATAATTAATAAAAAATTTATGATTCAGATCGAAAACCGGTTCAGGACCCGTCCCCACTGGCACTGGTAATGATTAGTATTTTTGGAGAATTCATTTTTTTTTTGCATTTCAAGGTTATAAGAATTTTAGAAGATGTGAACAAATTCATTTAAAAGTAGGGAGGGGGTTAAGCGGATTTGAAACATTTTAAAAGTAAGAATAAAAAACATATTCCTACTTCTCATGTTGAGCGGCTCAAAGGGAAAGTAAACCGTATTTGCCTGTATGTATTATGGGCCATCGCGACCTTTCGGCCCATACATTTTAAAACGAAGAACATAAACCGTTGGTTCACGTGAACTCGTAAACTGTGTGATTGATTAAGAAGCCCTCGCTCTCCTCCTCTTCTCCCCTTATCTTTTCCCCTCCTTTCTCCGGCCAGGGTTTTGGTTTCTCCGTCTGCCGCTCCTTATCTACGCTCTCTCTTCGTACGCAATAAGTCACAGTTAGATACCCTGTGACTCAGCGTTTAAGCTATGGCGTCTTCAGCAGCTCAAGTTCACGCTCTCGGAGCTACTTATTTCACGAACAATCAGTCCTCTTCGAGCAGGAGTTCGTTCAGGAAGGTATTTTTGGGACAGGGCTTAAACAATAGAACGTTTTCGTTCGGATCTAAGCTCACGAGAAGCAACTTCCGTCGCAGGAATGCAACTATCACTCCGTTGCGGGTTGTTGCCGAGAAAGTGGTCGGGATTGACCTCGGGACGACTAATTCGGCCGTGGCTGCCATGGAAGGTGGGAAGCCGACTATTGTGACGAACGCAGAAGGGCAGCGGACCACTCCTTCGGTGGTGGCGTACACTAAAAACGGGGATAGGCTTGTGGGGCAGATTGCGAAGCGCCAGGCTGTTGTTAATCCGGAGAACACTTTTTTCTCGGTGAAAAGGTTTATTGGGAGGAGGATGACGGAAGTGGATGAGGAGTCGAAGCAGGTTTCCTATCATGTATTAAAAGATGAGAATGGAAACGTGAAGCTTGAGTGTCCGTCTATTGGCAAACAATTTGCTGCAGAAGAAATCTCTGCTCAGGTAGAATCACATCATCTCCTTCCTCTAATAATGTGGATTTCATGCGTCTGTATGTGTAATTATCTACCTTGTGGCTTTGTTACTTGTTCAAGTAAATATAAAGTGGCATGCTTGATAAAGATTCTCCTTGATGTAATTTTGAACACTAAAATTGAGATTTAAGGTTCATTCTTGTGCAATGCATGTTGAATACTTGATGGCTGGAGCAACTAGTATTAATTGGTCTTCACTGGGTAGACTAATATTTTTCACATTTTTTGAATATTTGCTATAGGTCCTGAGAAAGCTTGTTGACGATGCTTCCAAGTTTTTGAATGACAAAGTAACAAAGGCTGTCGTCACTGTTCCTGCATACTTCAATGATTCTCAAAGAACAGCTACTAAGGATGCTGGTCGTATTGCTGGACTTGAGGTTCTCCGTATTATAAATGAACCCACTGCTGCTGCTTTGGCATATGGGTTTGAAAAGAAAAACAATGAAACCATATTGGTATTTGATCTTGGCGGTGGAACTTTTGATGTATCAGGTATCAAGTTATCTTTTTCTTTGTTTAATTTGCAACTGTAGCTTAGTTTCATGTTGTTCAGGGATTTCTTTCACTCCTTCAAGACCTTATTACAAGGCACAATTGACTAAACTACACAAAACAAGTTTACTTTGATTTTCTATACTTAAAAAAGTATAATATTCCAATTTTACTATCCCCTTTTATTGTTCCTTGAAAGTGAAAGGGGAGCCTTGGCGCACTGGTTATGGTGTTGCTGTGTGACGGAGAGGTCACAGGTTCAAATCTTGAGAGTGGCCTCTTGTCAAAATGATAAGGAAAGTCTTGCTCCTTATACACCCTTGTGGTGGGACTTTTTCCAGATCCACGGGGATTCCAATGTGCTTCGGGATACCCCCTTTATTGTTCATTGTAAGTCAATTCTGCAAAAAAGATAAACATGGCCACACTACTTACCAAATATGTAGTACAATTTAAAGACAATAAATAGTTTATAAGAATAAACAATGCCTTATGAAAGGACCATTTACTCATCTTATAGTGTTTAATATTAAGACCGCAGAGTACTTTGATTTTATTGTTCCTATTTTTATTCTCCTTTTAGCACACATTATATTGCTCATGAATTATTATAATGACATTTTTTCCTTCTCTCCTCTTTGCAATGAAGTTCTTGAGGTGGGTGATGGTGTGTTTGAGGTGCTATCTACTTCTGGAGACACTCATCTCGGTGGTGATGATTTCGATAAGGTCTGCCTTCATATTTCCATCTACCTGTTGTGCTTGATACTTTTCTAGATGATATGTAACTAATTAATCTGTTTTTCTTTTAATGCAGAGAGTTGTGGATTGGCTTGCTGCAGATTTCAAGAGGGATGAAGGTATAGATCTGCTAAAGGACAAACAAGCTCTTCAGCGTCTAACAGAGACGGCTGAGAAAGCTAAGATGGAACTATCATCCTTGACACAGGCAAACATTAGGTATTACCTTTATCATGTCAATCAATATTACTTGTTAGAACATATACAAGTTTTACTAAAATGAGATTTAGAAAAATGCTTGAACTCTAATCATTATCCATAAATCATATCAGAATTCATTTACTACCTCTGCTCACAAAGATAAGTCACATTTGACCTTCTTTGGGCAAAGTTTTTTTTTTGCTCTGAGCAATCATATTTTTTATTCAAAATGATATATACAGTGAAAGTAGTTAGAACGTTCTTTGTTATGGGTGTTCTAACAAGAGTAAAAAACTACTACGTATTAGTCAAATTTCAATTTCTTTTTCCCAATAAAGTTAAATTCCCCTATCTTTGTGGGACAAAGGGAGAAGTATATTGCTCCCTTTTAGGTCAGGATACTGGAGATGGAATGGTTCCCAGTTTCCCTATACATATGTGTCTGTGTTTCTTAATCTTATATAAGTACTGGTCATTGTAAATTTGTAAATATAAATCTCTAATTTGTCATCCAATTTGGTGCATTGGTAGTGTTGTGTTACATAATATGCATAATAACGTTCTCTTATTATTGACCCATTGTCTTGCTCCTTCCACCTCCACCCGAGTCATGGGGCGGGTCCGGGTCTTGCAGTACCCGCCCCGCCCCGATCCATTGCACTGCAAGTTGCAGTTGGTCTCTCTGCCACTCACTGGACTAAAATTTTAGAGGCATTCCTAGATCTGTTTTACTAATAGTATCATCACATATCCTGTTCCTCCTTGTAGCTTGCCATTCATTACAGCCACCTCTGATGGACCTAAACACATTGAAACCACTCTGACTCGAGCTAAGTTTGAGGAGTTGTGCTCAGATTTGCTTGACAGGTATGATATATCACAAAACTGCTTTATATACCTTTCAACTGAACTAGATTAATAATTCATACTTTTCCCTTGTGTTTTATCAGGCTCAAAACACCCGTTCAAAATTCATTGAGAGATGCAAAACTTTCATTCAGTGACATTGATGAAGTGATCCTAGTGGGAGGCTCAACTCGCATTCCTGCTGTTCAGGAATTAGTTAAGAAATTGACAGGAAAGGACCCAAATGTTTCTGTTAATCCTGATGAAGTTGTCGCCCTTGGAGCCGCAGTTCAGGTTGGATGTCTTTTCTCAGTGTTACAGTCACATGTTTTGCTCCCTTCATTATTATTAATATGTTAACACTAATCAATTTTCCATTTTCCCTTTTATCAGTCCATTTCTATATTCTATGTATGCACAACCCCACTTATTTTCCCCTTAAATTATCCAACTGACACTTCCAATAGAGAAAAAAAAAGAGATTGTCTTATTGAAGGAATCAAAGTATTAAAACCATTGATTAGTGTATTACCCCACATGACACATTTTCTTACCCTTTTGACGGTGCACTACTAAAGGGGTGGCCAAATGAGCCAAACTGACCCCAAACTGCCCTAAACCATTGAGTGGCTGGTGTCCCACAAACCATAGCCACACCCAAATCTATCACATTAAATATTCTAAATCACTCCAAAAGATTCTTTGAAAGGTGAGGTTTATCTCACACCTAGTGCATAACCAATGTGGAATACTTCACAATTTTCAATTATGATGCCTAAATGCAATACGCGATTTTTTTTCCCTGATTTAGGCAGGAGTTTTGGCTGGAGATGTAAGTGATATTGTCCTTCTCGATGTGACACCATTATCCATTGGGTTGGAAACTCTTGGCGGGGTCATGACCAAGATCATCCCAAGAAACACAACTTTGCCTACCTCAAAGTCAGAGGTGTTCTCTACAGCTGCTGATGGTCAAACAAGCGTAGAAATCAATGTTCTCCAGGGTGAGAGAGAATTCGTGAGAGACAATAAATCTCTAGGAAGCTTTCGCCTTGATGGAATTCCTCCTGCCCCTCGTGGAGTTCCTCAAATTGAAGTCAAATTTGACATTGATGCCAATGGAATTCTCTCTGTCTCTGCCTCTGACAAGGGCAGTGGGAAGAAGCAAGACATCACTATTACAGGCGCCAGTACCTTGCCCAATGACGAGGTATGACTTGTATAATTCCATTTGCCAATTGATGCCCCTACGTGCATTAGCTTAGTTCTCACTAGTTTACACTATTTTTTCCTTCTAGTTTTTCTTTTCTATTTCTTTCTTAAAACAATTATAACAGTAAAGCATGCTTGGGATTCTATATTTCTATTAGTTATTATTATAGTATTGAAAAATAGAATGTTGAAAAGTGAAAACTTTTAATTTAAATACATGCAATTAGTTTTTACACTACTATCCAAAACATGCTTCAGAGTCTTTTATTCATTAAAAATGTATGATTCCAAAGGTACTTTCTCCCCAAATAGTTCTACTAAGTATTTTATAGGATTATTAGTTAATTATATCCCCAACTATCATCAAATTCTCAAATTTATCTAGTACTTTCACTTTTGTTAAAAAGAGAGCCAAACTTCAACTTTTCTCACAATTACACTTTGAATCGATGAATTAGTAAAACCTAACAATAAAGTCATAATTATATTTCATATTGTTTCACTACTTTCTAGTTTTAAGGTTACAAAATTGTATTGCATTATATCTTATTGGTATTGATAAAAATGTGCAATTTTGGAAAAACAAAAAAGAAAAGCATAATTGTTGAAAAAGTTGAAAAAGATGAAGTTTGAGTCTTTTTTGACAAAAGTGAAAGAATAGGATAAATATGTGAATTTGATGATAGTTTGGGATGATAGTTTGGGATAAAATAAGCTAATAATCCTATTTTATAAAACCAAACTTTAATCTGTCATGAACATTTTAAAATAGGTTATGGAAAACTAAAATTTGATATATTTCAATAAGCTAATATATGAAAATATGGCCCAGATTAATGATTTTCAACAGTTGTATCTTTTCCATAATCTGATAATTCTGATTTTTTCCTGGACTAAACATGATTTAATTTGAGACAGGTGGAGTATTATAAAATTCGTTTGTAAATAATAAATAATCTTGTTATATATGCAAAATAGATTTACAATAATGTTACATATTTAAAATCATACTGAAGCAATACCAATTTTAAGTTTAAATTCCTTGCCAGCCAATATCATTTGCACCTATTTAAGAACTCACATTGAAATTGATACAGGTAGACAGAATGGTTAAAGAAGCTGAAAGATTTGCCCAGGAAGACAAAGAGAAGAGAGATGCCATTGACACAAAAAACCAGGCCGATTCTGTTGTTTACCAGACAGAAAAGCAGCTCAAGGAACTTGGTGACAAAGTACCAGGCCCAGTGAAAGAGAAAGTTGAGGCTAAACTAGGAGAGCTTAAAGATGCCATCTCTGGTGGAACAACTCAGGTCATTAAAGACGCAATGGCTGCCCTTAACCAGGAAGTCATGCAGCTGGGTCAGTCTCTCTATAATCAGCCCGGTGCAACAGCCGGTCCTGGCACACCACCACCACCACCTGGTGGTTCATCTGAGAAAGGAGCCAATGGTGATGTCATTGATGCTGATTTTACAGATAGCAAGTAAGACGACTCTGAGTAATATTTTTCCAATCTATTTAATGGTTTCCTATAAAAATGGCTTTTAAATTTTGAAACACTTATTGATATATTGGGATGGGAGGAAGGAGAATCAAATTATGGAAATATAGAGGTTAGTTGTTCTCAATAGCTGCAAATGTCAATCAACTCAATCCCTTCGGCTACATTACGTTATTATGTTATCGTTGTTGCCATTTGTTCCATTATTATTATATTAGTAGAGACAGCTTTAAGTGAGTAATAATAAAAGTTCTGCATATAGTGTTTTGAAATTATTTACATCGTTACATGTATTATTATATACTCCGTAGTCCGTACTACGTGTATGTTATGTCATATGTTGGATACTCTGGAATGAACTTCAAAACAGCGCTGGTCTTTGAAAAAAATCCCAAGATTGATATTATGTAAACTTCCTTGGGCCACATTACTTTATTTTACACTGTAATTTTTTTAAAACAGTGTAATTTCTGGACTTTGAAGTGAAATTCACACTCGAATCATGGTCAGTTTATCAATCGTTTTTGGGGCGGAGGGAATTTCTCCAAAAAAATACTTCCTTCAAAAAGCAATATACATCTTGTTTTAATAGGAGTTTAAAGAAAATAAATGATGTCATCTCTTAAAATTTGAAACACAAAAAAGGCAAAAACAAGAAATACGATAGTACTCCGTAGTACTTCTCAGTATACAAATACGATAGTATATAAAGAGTCCCTTTGGCAACACTTGTTTTGGGTTTATAAGACGTATCAGTCAACTTTTTCACTAAACATGTGACTTTTGCTTTCACGCGCTGAATTGTGTAATAAGTAGAAAAAATAAGGTTGAAGTTACTTTTCTGGTTGTATTGGCTGAAGTTACTGTAGATATCATTTTAGCTATTTTTACACACATATTTTTTTATTTTATCAATAAAATATAATTTTAAAATAATTTTTTCTTAAATCAGCAGAAGCAGCCAATGCAGCCACTTCAGCCAGAACTTCATAAATTTCAGGAGAATCAGCTAAATCAACTGATTTTCGTGCTACCAAATAGACTCAAAAAGTAAAAGTTTGACATGATAGATAAGGTGAAAGATGGAAGGTCATAGATGAAAGATGAATAAGATGGAAATGGTGAAAATGAGAGGTGATGAAGATGAAAAACAATTAACATATTTGATGAAGATGAAAGAAGGAGAAAAGGAAGGAGAGAACTTCTTGGCATGGAAAGAGGGAGAAAAGGAGGGAGGGTAAAAATGATAAATTTTGAAATTTTATAGTTTGTGTCAAAGGGGACCTTATGTCTATGGAAATATCTTCATCAACTTCTCAATTCTCATTAGCTATCAGAATATTCTAAAAAGCTACCTGAAATTTATCAGAAAAAGTTGTCAAAATTGGTATGTTGTCTTTAATCATATTCGCGTCAAATCCTTTTTTGAGTCAAAAATCACATGAAGCTTGAGGAGGGCTATCACTCTATCAGCTAGGATGGAGATTATATTATTAAGAAAAAGAATCTCATGCGATACGCAACATCTTGTGAAGACCAAATTTTATAGCTATTCAAACTTTTGGTTTTTGAATTAAAATAATCATACCAATGAAATGACAGTCATTGATGAAAAATAAAATGTTTTTATTCAAAATTCTTACGTATGAGATGATTCTTTTCACAGGAAGTTTCTTTAAATTGACCATTCAATATATTTTAGGGCCTTTGCTCTCATTTTTGTTTTTTCGTAATTTTGTACAAAAAGCTTTTCAAACAAAAATTCACCGTGTAAGGTAGCAAAACGATTGCGCTTTTCAAACAAAAAACTACCCTCGAAGTCAACATTTTTTTGTCAATCAATAATAAAAGCCAATCCGCCAAAATTGTAAACTCCAAATTATAATATAATTAAAAAACAGCATCCTAATTAAGCGAATAAAATGAAATTGTTCGACCAAGAAAAGTCAAATTACCAAATCAAATTGGGACGGAGATAGTAGTGATTTTAATTGCGAATGTACACAAATTGCATACCATAACATTTTATATTCATTATCACGTGTAAACCACGACAAAAAAAGGTTAGAAATGCCCTCGCCTATGCATAACGTGATTGAAACGTGACATTCGCCCACAAACTTTTAGTTACTTAAAAGTACATGATAATTGATAAGAGACCGAAAGTATAAAGAGCTTAATCATAAAACACTAAAATAAGAAAAAAAAAGGTGAAAAAAATGATGGAATATTAGTTTTTACTTTTTGCCACGTTAGAAAAGGAAAAAGAGAGTTAAAACAAGACGAGAAGGGTAAATGACACAGTTTTACTATTACTAGATTTTCTTTTTGAAGATGAAATGTATTTTACATGCATTGATTGTTTAGATCATTAACTTCAAATGCCCTACTCATACTTTCTATTGGCCACTTCAAAAATTAAAGAAATGCAACCAATGCAAATCCGCCTTATTAATTACTGCTCTTTACAATATGAAGATTTTGAGTTTTGAAGTTTGAATGAAATACAAATTTTTACTTTTAATAATCTTTGGATTACTAGTAATTAATAAGTGCATATAAACAGCTAGAGATATTATGATTGATACGGAAAGTATATGATACCATGTCATTTATAATTTGAAATTAAAAAAGATGAGGAAGAAGAAACTCTTTCACTTGCAGGAGAGTAAGTAAATGGACCTTCACATTGGGACAAGAAAATATTACTCCATATTATGTCTCTTCAACAACAACAAAGAGAGGCCGGGCCATGAAGAAAAGAAAAACTGATGTGATAAAAAAACTGATGTGATGAATTACTTAAAGCCTCAAAATGCGCTTACATGCTCTAAGAAACTTCCCACGGTTAGGTTTAGCGATCTCGTCCTTCTTCCGTGTCACTGACCCCGCTTCATCTTCCTCCTCAACCGCCTCTTCTTCCAAAGTGGCGGTGGCGGAGGGGGATGAGAGGTGAGCGTAGTCGGAGCACTTCTGGTTACGAATCATCGTCCTAAAACAATAATACCTCTCAGAAACCGAAGAAGGTCTTCTTCTCATCATCGAAAACTCCCCATTATTCGCCTCATATCTTCTACTCCCACTCCTCTCAAATTTCACCATCTCAGATCCAACCCCCTTTGAAGATGAAATGCTCCTCCTCCTATTGATAACCTTTTTCTCCCTAGAATTATCCTTCCTCCACTCATCTTCTGCTTCTTCATCACTGTTCTTGGATGACTTATCATCATAGTCTTCATCATCATCAGCAACAACATTGCTCCTCCTCCTTCTGCTGCTAATCATGCTTTCTATGATTGGGCTATCATCATTGGATTGATCAGGTCTTTGGGTTTTGTGTAAGATGGATTGGAGATCTGACAAGTGCATAGATGATTTGCTCTTGTTGTTGTTCTTGTTCCCACCCACTGCTGCTTCCATCTTTACCTTTCTGTACATTTTCCTAATGCATCTACTTCTCAATAGTTCCTTCTTGGTTTCTTGATGATGGAATTGAAGTGACTGATACCTCTAAATATAGTACTAGAAAATTCTCTCTCACTATCTCACACATACACATAGACATGTACCCACACATATCGATGTATGTTATGTATATTATGTATTTGTATGATAGGATATTTTAATCCACATCTCTCATTTTTAACATTAATACTTGTCATTTACAAGGTGTACGTTGTTTTTGTATGCCAAAAACTTTTTATTTTATAATAATTGCAAAAGTTACTATGCTAACATATTAATTAGTTAACAAAACATGGATTAGAAAAGAGAGAATTTTATAAATATGATGACAAAAATATACCACCCATATCTCATAATCGACTTCCCAATTTGACGTTTGAGACCCTTACTTTGTTAACATGGATCATTATACTACGAAAAACTCTCTTCGTCCCTTAAAACTTTTTCAGCTTTCCTTTTTTGGATGTCCAACTAACTTTGGCATTTTTTCTTTTAAGTAAAGAATTTGTGGTTCCAGTTAATTTTCTCTTCTGCACAAACCTCAACCACACAGTTTTTTCTTTATAAATTCTCGTGCCAGTCAAACTTGACAAAATTGTAAGGGATGAAGGGAGTATATATTTTAAAATTATACGATAGTACTCCCTCCGTCCCATTTTAGTTAGCCAAACTTGACTTTTCAAGTCAATGACGTCTAACTTTGACTGATTATATGTTTATATAGAGAAAGTATTAATAATATGAAAATGATATGAAAATGTTCTTTGTTAATAATACTATCATAAAAGTATAAAATTATTTAATTTTGCATAAATATATTAGTTTCAATAATTGGTCAAAGTTTACCACCTTTGACTGGAAAAGTCAAAGATGGCTAAGTAAATTGGGACAGAGGTAGTATTACTCCCTCCGTCCCAAAATTATCTTCATTCTTTCCTTTTCGGTCCGTCCCAAATTTATCTCATTTTTCCCCTTTTGGTAAAGAATATGTGGTTCAAAACCATTCTTACACATTTCTCTCTCCTCTGCATAACTCTCCACCACACAAATCCCACTATCTTAAAACCCGTGCCTGGTCAAAACCGGAGTTAAATATGGGACGGATGGAGTAGTTTATAGCACCATTATACTTTTGAATAATATACTGTTGAATGTTAGTTTAAAATTAATTATTTTAAATAGTAATAGTCAAATATCAATCAAGTTGGATCAATATAGTGAAATTGGAAAGTTAAGTTTCGAATGGAGGGGATTATAATAGGGAAAAGGCGCAAATAAGCCCTCGAACTAACGGAAAAAGTGCAAATCAAACCTTTTATAAGAGGTTTTGTCCAGCCGTCGCCATTTGGGGAGGTTTCCGGTGGAATTTTTTGATGATTTTTTGATAATCTTATTCATTAAGTCTAGTTTAGCCATATCAAATTTCAGCTAAAACCTCAACCGGGAAGGCAATCAAATGATTTTCTGAAATATACTTCGTTGTTTAACTGCACAGTTATATTCAAACATTTATTTGACTGCCTTCCCGATTGCATTTTTAGCTGAAATTTGGTATGAGTAAACTAGACTTAATGAAGAAGATGCTCAAAAAAAATAATCAAAAAATTCAACCGGTAACCGTGGTGATGGCCGGACAAAGTCTCCTATAAAAGGGGTGATTTACACTTTGTTAAACATCTTATTTGTCCCTTTTCGTATTATAATATAATTCTTTCAATAAACGGATCATTTTTGGGATAAATCAATGACGCTTTTATTTATGCATATGATGGAGTTATTTTTTTGCGTCTATATATACCGCTATATATATATATATATATATATATATATATATATATATATATATATATATATATATATATATATTTCCTTCAGGATTTAATAAATGAAGAGACTACAGCACACTCTGCTAGATACACTCTTTCAATTCACTTTATACATTTAGGGGATGAAGACTTTGTGTTATACTCCCCCGCTAACAATGGGACAAGAGGGAGTGACACGTAAATTAATAAAAAATGGTTTATGTAGTTGATATTGAATTGATAAAGTATGAATAAAGTAAGAATGATTTATAGTCACAAAAACTTTAATAAATTTGGTATGTGACAATCTTAGTGGGACGGACCGATAAGGTAAAATGACACAATCATAGCGGGACGGAGGTAGTAATACGGAAGCCCTCTTATACGGAGGATTATTGAAATAAAATTCATATAAAATATATTAATATAATTATTATGCATATATGCATTGTGGTATAGAATTGAACATAATCATAATCATAATCATTAAACTATACTACGGATATCATTCTTCTTCAGTATCTTTATCGGTCATATATTTTTTATTGATACGTACTAGTAAGTAGTAAAGTATCTCTTTATTTATTTAATTTCTTTTATACGGAGTATGATTTGTTTAATTTAATATGTGTAGGCCCCCTAGGTTGCGACTAGAAAATATTTGAGAAGCTGTTTGCTTTTCCATGACCTTGAAATTGAGGTGCTCTGGTCGGTACGTAACGTAATATCTGATCGCGTCAGATTTACTGGTCGATCATCATATCTTTGATTATATTCTTTTTAAACATACTTCAAGGGAAACATGTTTCTCGGTAAATAAGATCAGTTAATAATGCGGATTCAATAATTGAGGATATGTCATATGTGTATCTGTAACACCTCGGCCTTGTAGTGTCTAAGGCAGTTACTCCAGACAGCCTCCAGACATCTAGTACTGTCCTCACAAACCACCACAAGCCTTTACCGCGCACTTTGTCCTAACTTGTGCGTGTCTTGAGAAACTTCTCGGACGATCACTCATTCCAGACTACTCCCGTGAAAGCACATTTAACTTGGAGTTCTTAGGTGATGAGTTTCCTTAAAAGGAGATGCACATCTGTTGGTATGAGTAGTACTATTAATTCATTTATATTAATTCTCAAGTATTACAGTATCATTTGATTTTTATTTAAGAAAATTTGTGTAAGATAAATTACAAGAACAATCATAATAGTTGCATATATGGTAATATATTTTATTTTATTTTATTTTATTTGACATTATAATAAAAAAAACTTTTTATTTATTATCTAAGCAATTTGGCATTTGTAAATTTATTAAAAATAGATATTATATATATATATATATATATATATATATATATATTTTCTATCGATCTTTTATTTTGATTTATATATAAATTTAATTTAGAAATACATATATGTAAATAACGTAAAGATGTATCGTACAAACATTGGCACAATAAACACAGTTTGTACTTGATCCACCCCTATACACACAAAGGTATGGGTATAAGAAAAGATCAGGTAAGGTAGTTATGACGGGAACCACCGTCCGAATTCGTCTACTAGAAGTGCTTCTCAGTAGAATTTTTGATACAATTTTGTGAGCATGTTCTTCTAGGTAGATTATCTACACAAAATTTTAGTTTTAAATAATTCAATCGGGAAGTCAGTTAAATAAATTATTGAAAAACAATGCGCTATATATATTGGTATAAAGTTGTTCAATAATTTATTTAACTGATTTCGTGATTGAATTTTAAGTTAACATTTCATGGACATAAATCTCAACTTCATGAAATCAAATTCACAAATTTTCATAAAAAATCCGTCCGGAAGCACATTAAATAGTCGAGTTCGAACTACGATTCCCGTTAGAACTAGAGCGCATTTGGTGAGAATGTATTTTGTCTTATCAAATTTATCAGCCAACTTTTTCACCAAACACGTAATTTTTTATTCTCGCACTGAAATGTGTAATAATAAGGAAAAGCAAGGTTGGAGTTACTTTTCTGGCTGTATTGGCTGAATTTACTGTAAATGGTCATTTTAGCTATTTTTCATACAATTTTATCTTTATTTTATTATTAGAATATATTTTAATTATAATTTTTACATGAATCAACCAATCCAGCCAATTCAGCCACAACTTCATAAATTTCAGCAAAATCAGCCGATGCAGCCGATTTTGATATTACCAAATGGGCTCCTACTTGATAGAATCATTACTAAAAAAGAAATAGCAAGTAGGTAAACGTATCATATAGACAGAAGTAAAAATACAGTAAAAACGATAAAATTAAAAAACAGAATTAATTACTACGTATGTTTTATTAATGTTCTGGTCTGAAATTTTATTTTTTATATTTTTTGCATAAAGATTTTATTTTATATATATATATTATAATCCATAAATAATTATAATTTATTCATTTATAATTACAATATATAATAACAATAACAATAACAATAATAATAATAATAATTATTATTATTATAACAACAACAACAATAATAATAATAATAATAAATATAATAATAATAATAATAATAATTAGGGGTGTGCACTATCCGGTTTAAACCGGAAAATCGGACCGAACCGGACCGGAAAAACCGAAACCGGATCGAACATGAATGATATCCGGTTCGGTTCGGTCCGGTCCGGTCCGGTTTTGAACCGGTGTACACCCCTAATAATAATAATAATAATAATAATATCAATAATAATAATAATAATATCAACAACAATAATAATAATAATAATAATAAATTTAATAATAATAATAATAACAATAATATAAGGTCTGGTCTGGTATGGTCTGTTTTGGTCTGGTCTGGGACGAATTATAATCCAAGTAAAAACAACCTAATTGCATAGACTAGTTTAGTCTCGTAAAAATAATAAAAACTTTTCATAATAAGACTAGATGATCTTAGTAGTAATACTTTTAATTTATTCATATTTAAAAATAGTCATTTTCTTTTAAAATTGACTTCAATTTAATCATTTTAAAGGAAATCTCCCATCTCCAATCGCTAACAATCCGATCCAGGAGTACAATATAACCCATGCAGATTGTGTTTTTATTCACCCATTTCACCTAAAATATCCCTTTTCTTATGTGACCAGAGTGACATAATGTCGGGTTAGGAGTCAAATAAGGGTTTTGTTTTCTAGTAATGTATCATGTGTAAAGGCCTGTTTGGATTCGAAAATATCTAATCGCATTTAGGAGACGTGTTCTTGTCGGCAGTCGCATACTGTACGTGTGTGAATATGGAGCTATGATAAAAAAATA